GTGTGTGTGTGTGTGTGTGTGTGTGCGTGTCTGTGTGTATGTGTCTGTGTGTGCTCTGCCAGATGGAAGCGATGAGAAAAAGGACTACTGCAAGCCTTTCAACTGCAMTGACTACGGGGGTYTGAAATGCCCGAACGGGGTTGAATGCTTGTGGACGGAGACAGATGACAGCTCAGATGACCCTGTGTTCAAGTTCTGCGAYGGCATCCCGGACTGCAAAGATGGAAGTGACGAGGCTGGGTGGTATTGCAAAAACCGTCTCTGCTCCACTCAGGACAGAGACGAAGAGTTTGCAAGGAAGGCCTACTTCCGTTGCGATGGAGGGCGATGTGTGCACAACGTAGCCTTCTGCAATGGAACGAAGGAGTGCCGAGATGGCTCCGAYGAAAACAATTGCCAATCCAARACTTGTCCGGAGGGATTCAGGAAGTGCAAGGACGGTCGGACTTGCMGTGCTGCAGACCTATTCTGYGACGSCAAGCGCGACTGCCCGGACGGATCTGACGAAAGCCTCCAAACATGCGGGTGTCAGGACTTGAACCAGAGGCTCTGTGCTGACAATAAGACCTGTGTTGCCAGACTGAAGTTCTGCGATGGAGTACAGGATTGCCCCGACGGGTCAGATGAAAATAGGGAATTTGCTGCGTCAGACTGCATAGATGTGAAGTGCAATGCCAGCAACGGCGAGTACCAGTGTCCAACGGGACCATTGGCGATTTTGTGTCTTTCCAGATCCAATTTTTGCGATGGCTCGAATTATTGTGAGGACGGCTCAGATGAGGAGATAGCCAACTGCAGGAAGCTCCCATGCACCTACGAGAATGAGATCCGATGCAAGGACGGCAGCCGCTGCATAAGCCCATCCGATCAGTGTGATGGGGAGTACGATTGTCAAGACAAATCTGATGAGAATTCGAGCTTGTGCAAGACTTTTGACTGCAGCAGCACTGGTAGGGTGAAGTGTCCGAGCGGGGTGGGATGCATGGACTCGAGAGAGAAGCTTTGTGATGGAAAACGAGACTGCCTGGATGGCAGCGATGAGACACGCGCTGCTTGTGCAAGCATTACCGAGTGCAATGCTGAACAAGTGCTGTGCAAATCTCCCCGGAAATGCAGGCCAGGTGTTTACTGCGACGGCATATATGACTGTAGAGATGGGGCTGACGAGGACCCCAGCTTCTGCAAGAACTACACGTGCCCGAGCCGAACGTGGCGCTGCAAGAACGACATTCAATGCATCGGAAACCTGTTGGTGTGTGACGGGAAGAAACATTGCAAGGACGGTTCAGATGAGGAGGCTGGTTTCTGCCAGTCTTACAACTGCACATCTCTTGAAGGAATAGAGTCGTATCGCTTCAAGTGCCCAACGAATGACAAGAAATGTGTGAGTGGAATACTGTGTAATGGATATGTGGAGTGTGCAGATGGTAGTGACGAGAGTGCCACCTTCTGCCAGACGTACAACTGCCCTGCGGGTCATTGGAAGTGTACAAAGACTCCACAGTGCATCGATGTTGGAAGTGTGTGTAGTGGAAATGTGGACTGCAAAGATGACACTGATGAGGGTGTGGATGTTTGTAAGACTTGGGAATGTGCTCAGGGCTACTGGAAGTGCAAGGATGGGAGCAAGTGCATCTATGCATACAGTTTCCTCTGTGATGGGTCTTCCCATTGTGACGATGGCTCTGATGAGTCTGTTGAAGTCTGCTCGACTATCAGATGTGAGGACTTCGGCAGAGTCAAATGCCCTGACAATCCGAACAGATGCTGTTCATGAGAGGCAGAGATGACAGGACTCACGTGTGTGTGTGTGTGTGTGTGTGTGTGTGTGTGTTGAGAGAGAGAGAGAGAGAGAGAGAGAGAGAGAGAGAGAGAGAGAGAGAGAGAGAGAGAGAGAGAGAGAGAAGAGAGAGGCTGTAAACAACTAGCTACCCTGCTTGGATTAAAAATTGTGTCTTCCTCTCACTTTCTTTTTATTTTCCACTATCTGTGTCGTATTGTTGTGAACTCTTCTCCCAGATTACTCTGAGGCTTCTTTGTGTTCTGTGTGAGGTCACTCTCAGTTCAAAGGAGGAGGAGCTAAGGTGACCGACATCCATATTCGTGATTTTAATAAGCTTAGGATTTCAAAGAGAGTAATTATTGATGTTTTTTTCTTTCCCCCTCTTCTTCTGCACTCTCTCTCGGGACGTTTTTCCACCAGAATTCAGTTGAATCAGTTCTATGGGCAGTGGTCAATGGGAGGTTGGTGTTTGATCCTTGGTGACTAAGAACTCACAGCGTGAGGGCTCTTGTCACATGTGAAGTAAGACACATGTGACATCCAATCATGTGTAACACTCCGTACGACGTACGGGGGGTTTATCGTACGGTCGTACGTACGGCCGTACGTACAGCCCCGTACGGGAAAAAAAAAAAAAAAAAAAAAAGAACCGTTTGTTTTTTAATCTCAAATTTGGTAATGAATTTCAATATGACCCTGAGGCAAAAGTGTTTCAGTTTATTTTTCTGCATAACATATTTGTTTTTCAGATTTTTTTGAATTTGTTTTTTTTTGCTTTTTTTCCGTACGTACGGCCTGTACGACCACATGAGCCCGTACGTACGGCGGTACGTACGTACGGACGGCCCGTATTCGTACGGGGGTCTACCCATGGATCAAGCTACGTTTTATGTGTGACTTAGTCATGCCTAGGATATATTATGTTGGGGAAATCGAGGAAGACAGCAATTGAAGTGTTAAAGGTTAGAACATAGGACAGACTGAGTTCGTATTGTAGGAAATGTGCCTTCACTAATGTGTTCAGCAGCTGGATTTGCCTTGTCTTTTGCTTTCTTCCTGATCCTGTCCTTCACACAAGTGCTCCACTCGTGTAGTATGGGATTGTGGATGCTAATCAAATAGTATGGGGTTGTGGATGCTATTCATCGACAATCCGTTGGAATTTTTCTGTTTATTGCATTATTCCAAACTTAGATTTCATTTCACAAAACTATTTGGATGATTTACGTAATGCACTGAACAGCAGAGTTGCAGTCTGATGAATCTGAGGTCTTCTGACAAAGTGACAAATTGAATGCTGTCCTTTGTTTTTTTTTGGATTGCTGAGATCTCCTAATCCGAGTCTGTTGAGTCAGTCCAAGCCTGAGTCCCTAGGACAGTGAGCAAACACTTATTTATTTATTTATTGATTTATTTTGAACGGCCTACTAGGGCCGTATCCCAGGCGGTGATAAGAGCAGTCCCCTGTGATACCGCCCTCACGTGGCTCCAATCTATTGGTGGGGAGCTGCAATCGTACTCTAAGGGACACTGTCAGGGCTGAAAAAAATTAGCTGTACGACTTAGAAGAGTTAAAAAGGGGCTGGTACTAGGTGAAGGGGGTTCCGGTGCAGATCTTCAAGTTGGTGGTAGTCGCAAATATTGAAATGAAAAAAAAAGAGAAAAAGAAATGAGAGCTTTGAAGAGCAAGTGGASAAAGGTTCCATGTGAACAGCTCTTGGATATGGGTCGGTAGACCCCAAGAGATGTGGAAACCTGTCAAGGCCACATTGCACGCAGCTGGTGCCGCACACATTGAAAGGGGGTTGGGTTAAACCACCACTGTCCACCAGTACGTTTCCCAGCCGAAGAATAAATATGCTGCTTGCATGCCGCTGCAACTTTTGGGCCTCGGCCTCCGCAGCAAAATGGCTGGCGGCGACAGACAAAAGAAGCGCCGTGCTAGTCAAGTTTTTTTGGAGTGCAGGGCGTTTCCAGCGGTGCCGGACAAAAAATGCTAAGTATTGGTGATTTAATATTGCCTGACTGGGTTGTGGACGCGGAGGGTAACATAGGCGTACAACACAAACTGTCACTGACAGGGGTTGGCCTACCTTTCCGAAAAGTATTGGTGTCTATCCATCCATCCATCCATCCATATGTACATGTGTGTGTGCGTGTGTGTGTGTGTGTGTGTGTGTGTGTGTGTGTGTGTGTGTGTGTGTGTGTGTGTGTGTGTGTGTGCATGTCCCAGATCTCATATGTTAAAACAGCAGCCGATGGATATGGGCATCTGAAAGACAGGAATTGTGAGTGCATGTGGGCTTGCTGTAAATTTGAGGTGTACAGTGCTCTCTGCAGGGCCTTCCAGCTGTGTTTAACCACCAGTACATATGACGAAGTCAAATGAGCCTCTCCTAAGAGTTCGGGGACTTGCCCCACGGGCCACAGCGGGCCTGAGGGCGGGCGGGAATTTTTTTCTTTCCCGTGTGGCGCCAGCAACAAAAAAATTCCCCGCCCGCCCCAGGCCCGCAGCGGGGCGAGTCCCCTAACTTTTAGGAGAGGCGCATTTGGCTTCTCAACTTGGCTGGGCCATGTACTGGTGTATTATAAGTAGTGGAAATTGGCTCATTAGAAAAAAAAAAAGTGTCCCAAAGAACATGTACCATGCGATGTGGGCTTCTGCTTGCATCAAAGAGGGAGAAGGACTAGGTGGAAGGGGGCGAATTTCAAAGTTGTAGCGAAAGAATGCATACTGCTCAGAGGTGGCGTATGGGAAATGATGTTTCTGCAATGTTTCCTCATGTGATGTCTGTGTGATATGAGACAGAATCTGTCAGAATGGCATCTCCTGTCCTGCTCAGAAGACAAGAGAGAGAGAGAGAGCGAGAGAGAGAGAGAGAGAGAGAGAGAGAGAGAGAGAG